GGGCCGCCCTGGGGGGAAGCGGGTCAGGCCCCGCGAGCGCGGGTGGGCTGCAGACACGGTCCCGCGGCTGTAGGTGAATGTGGAGCGCTGCATTTTTTGTCTTTTTCCTGCCCATCCTGGGGCTTGAACTCAGGGCCTGGGCGCTGACCCCGGGCTTTCCCGCCTGGACTCCACCTTTGAACCTCAAGCCTCAGATCTCAACCCCCCGAGTAGCTGGGATTCCGGCATGTGCCCAGCACCTGCATGGCACTCCAAACCCACAGAGCCCTCATCTTTAATGTGTGCGCTGGCCACGCTGCACACTCACTCACTTTCTCTTGAGTCTGGGAGCAAGCCCCAGGTAGCAAGGGGAGAGCCCGGAGGTGTGGGCCGCGCGCGCGCAGCCAGCTCATGGACCTGGGCTTTGGGTCGGGGCCTCTCCGCTGCTCTAGGCCTGAGTTGGTCTGTTCCTGCGCCCTTTCAGCTCCAGTCCACGCTGACTTCCTCCAGCACCCCCACTCCCCCACGGGGACCCCGCTTCCAGACGTGATTCTTTTGTGGGTCTTGAACTCAAAGCACTGGCCCTTTTTTTCCCTCTACCACATTTAAGCCACATCTCTACTGCTGTTTTGGGTTTTGGGAGTTTTTTTTGGCTGGTTCACTGGAGATAAGAGGTTCCCAAGTTTAATTTGCCTACCCAGACCGGCTTCAACCCTCAATCCTCAGATCTCAGCCTCCTGAGTAGCTGGGATGACAGGTGTGCACCATCTGTTTCCAGGCCCAGTCTAGTCTTAAGGATTAGGTCTACAGCCAGGGACTGGTGGCTCGCGCCTGTGATCCTACTTACTCAGCAAATGTAGGCATCCATAGCCTAGGGCGGCCAGAGAGCTCAGGCGGTAGGGCACCTGTCCTGAGTGAAAAAGGTTAAGGGAGATCATGAGCCCCGAGTTCGAGTCCCAGTACCAGAACAAAGCTTAGATGCTATGTTTTTGCTGGAGAGAATTAGCAACTCACCAGGAATGCAGCACAGGCCTTCACACAGCCAGCCAGTGGCCTTAATGAGAGCATCAGGCCACGCCCAGTTGGTGGGTCATTCACACCAACTGCTCCGAGGGTAGACAGCATGCCGAGCTCCAGCTTCTACCCTAGCCACACAGGAGGCTGAGCCCTGAGAATCCCGGTCCAAAGCCAGCCTGGGTAGGACGAACTGAGAGACTCTTAACTCCAATCAGGCAGGAAACTTACAACCCCAGAGCCGCTCCGACTGCCTCTCCACACTCACACACACTTCTACCCCTAACCTAAGGTCTGCGCTCTGCACTGCCTTTCCAGCATATTCTATCACTCCATCGCACAGCACCTGTGGGTGTGGGTGTGGGTGCCCAGAATTGCACACATACTAGGCAAGTGCAACGAACCTCACTAATTTTGTCTGCCCGTCCCGGGGCTTGAACTCAGGGCCTGGGCGCTGTCCCTGAGCTTCTTTTGCTCAATACTAGCGCTCTACCACTTGAACCACAGCGCCACATGTGGCTTTTTCTGATCATTCACGGGACTTGAAAAGCTCATTGACTTTGCTGCCTTGAGCTGCCTTTGAACCCAGATCTTCAGATCTCAGCCGGGATTGCAGGCGTGAGCCACCAGTGCCTGACTAGGGAACTTTTTTGATTCTGACAAGTGTCACTTGGACATTTCATACATGCCGATTAATATGGACAGAGAGCCTTCACACTTGGCTGTCCCTGGGTGGACCCAACCACTTCCTGGCCATCCTGTAGGCTGTGCGGCCCTGGTGAGTCACGCGACCTCTCGGTGCCCTTCCCCGTTCACTTCAAAAGAGGTCCACGGTGGCGTGATCTCAGCGTGGTGGCGAGCGGCTACAGCGAGCACCCTACTTATGATTAGCTTCTATCAGACATTAGCTTTAGAAAAAGCAGCCACTAAAACAAGAATGGGCCGGGCACCGGTGTTCCCGCCTGTCATCCAGGGCCTCGGGAGGCTGAGGTCTGAGGATCGAGGTTGGAAGCCAGCCCTGGCAGGAAAGGCCGTGAGACTCTTCTATTAGTCACTTGAAATAGCTGGAAGTAAAGCTGTGGCTCAAGTAGAGCAAAAGCTCAAGGGCCCTGAGTTCAAGCCTCAGGACTGGCCCAAAAGAAAGAAAAACGTGAACTTCAGTATCAGAAAATGTAGCGCAGTCAGACACCAGTGGCTCACATCTGTAATCCCTGCTACTCAAAAACAATCACACAGGATGCATTGAATTTGTGTGTGTGTGTGTGTGTTGCTAGGGATTACACACATAGCCAAGTGCAAATACTTTGTGACTTTTTTTGTGTCAGTACTAGGACTTGAACTCAGGACCTGGGTGCTGCTTGAGCTGCTTTTGCTCCAGGGTAGCGCTCTACCCCTTGAGCCACAGCGCCACTTCCGTTTTTCTGGTGGTTCCTTGGAGATCAGAGTCCCACAGACTTTCCTGCCCGGGCTGGCTTTGAACCGGGCTCCTCATATCTCAGACTCCTGAGTCGCTGGGATTACAGGCGGGAGCCACTGGTGCTGGGCCTTGTGGAATTTTAGTACCAAGAAACCATCAAGTTCACTGCCGACCCGTCCTAAGGATTGTCTGAGGGGGAGGGGGGAGGGCAGGGGGCGGGCCGGCCGGCGCTGGTGCCAAACACCTCTTCCTCGAGGGCTGAGACACACAGCCCAGGATCGAAGGCTGAAAACACACGCGTTCCTCCTCCGTGTGGGAAGCCAGTGCTAGGCACACGAAGACCAACTTCTCATAGCTTTATTTCTGTGTCACGTTATAGAGCTATATGCATAGATTCCTTTCTCTTTGTACAATCTCTAGCCCCTCCCCTTCCCACAAACTCACACAAGAAAGGAGAGCGATCAGAGCTCCCGCGGGCCGGGCCGCGCGGCGGGCATCGGCGGGACCGCTGTCCTGGCTCGGGCTCTGGGATGGGTGAAGCAGCGGTTTCACCCGGGACACCGTGTAGTGTGCTGCAGGCTCTGGGGGCCCCCACACTGGGCCCCACAAATCCCCGGGTGCGAATCACGGGGGAGGAAGAATGGGGGGGCAGCGGGGCGCCTCCGG